GAACATTTCCTTAGTCAATTTTTCAAACTGTTTCAACTAACATGCAAACTGCAAAATTAATTAAAATTTTTAACAAAAATCAAAATCATTTTAGTGATTTGTAAGCAGTGACTTAAATAGAGTTCATATTGCCCATGAAATGATCTTATTAAAATAAGATTTAAAACGGAAGCACAGTGGGGTTGTGGCACAATGTGGATGTGGCATAGTTGGGACAAGTATAGATAATATGCGACAATGATTAAAAATACTATCATAAAAAGCGCTTCGGTGCAAATCTATAAATAGTGTTTAATTTTAAGAAATGGGTGAATTATACCAAAATAAAAAACAATCATATTTTTTTTCAACTTCAATGGTAATTTGCACATAGAAGATAGATCGTCGACACAAATATTTTTTTTTGAACTTCAAGTCCATAAAAGAAACTTTATTTTAACATATATTTAAAAGACGCAGTATTCACGAAATATTTTCAAAATTTAAGTCCTATTTTTTATACATATGTTTCAAGTTTTGAACATCCCCTTTATAAAGGGAAATTGTTTGATATAAAATAAAAGTATGTCGAAAGAAAGGGTATTTATATAGTATTTAGAAATAAAAACTTGTGTTGATACATACATTTTTCAAAAAGTTATAATAATTTAAAGTTTAATATATAATAAAATAGAATATTTTAACATAAATATAGCATAGAAGCCATAGAAGTGCAAAACATTAAAAAGCCATAGAAATGCAACAAAATTATGAAGCCATAGAAATGCAACAAAATTAAGAAGTCATAGAAATGCAAAACATTTAGAAGCCATAGAAATGCAAAACATTTAGAAGCCATAAAAATGCAAAACATTTAGAAGCCATAAAAATGCAAAACATTTAGAAGCCATAAAAATGCAAAACATTAAGAAGCCATAGAGATGCAAAACATTTAGAAGCCATAAAAATGCAAAACATTAAGAAGCCATAGAGATGCAAAACATTTAGAAGCCATAGAAAATGTAAAACATTAAGAAGCCATAGAAAATGTAAAACATTAAGAAGCCATAGAAATGCAAAACATTTAGAAGCCATAGAAATGTAAAACATTAAAAAGCCATAAAAATACAACAAAATTAATTTTTCCATCCTTTAACATTTTTTTGGTTTCTTAATGTTTTGAATTTTGTGTGGCTTCTTGATTTTTATGTAATTCTATGGCTTTTAAATTTATTTAATGGCAATAAAAATGTTAAGGAGTGAAGAAATTAAATTTGATCTTTCAGAAATTTTGTTCATATTATGACTATATGCAGAATGATTAATACATCCTCTATACTTTAATTTTTAAGTATGATTATAATATTAATATAATAAAAAAGCAGTTTTTCAAACATTTTTTAACAAAAAGAGATACTTGTTCTTTTTTTTTGAAAAACTGGATCTGTTGCAAATTCAAATCTTCAAAACTTCCACTTAATATGATATCTTACTTCATTTACGCACGCATCAGCCTTCCTCTTATTATATTCAATAACATTCCATCATTCTTTTTATGGTCTTCCTCTACTTCTTGTTCCTTCAATATTCATTTCTATAACTGTTCTTACAGCTTCCGATTACTCTCTCCTAATAACATGACCAAATCATCTAAATTTATGATCTTATCCAAGATTGACGCTACATCTATACTTCTTTTATATATTTGTTCCTTATTCTATCTTCTATAGTCAGTCCACTCATTCATCTAAGCATTTTCATTCTCTGATCTACTTTCTTGTCAACCACCGCTCACTACAGTCTTATAGAACTTACCTTTCAGCCTCATTGGAATTTTTTTATCGCATAAATAAGAATAAGCAATATGCTCGATTATAGTCCACGTTTTTGTCATAGTACGCGCATGTGCGTCCATTTGTATTTCTGTAATATAATTTTTAAGTAATAATTATACTAATTACTTTAAAACATTGCATTGTAAAATTATTTATAATAATAGTAATCGCGGAACTTGTGTTAAGTACTGTGTATTTTATTTTTTGCAACTTTTATTACATTTTGATAAAAAATTACTGCATACCTTGTTAATTAAACTTAAGGTATACTAACAAGTATTCAAACTTGTGTTCATATTCTAACATTGAATTAACACTATTTTGGCTATTAAGAATTTTTAATTTTTTAATGATATTTTTCTATTTTATTCGACTCTCGTCTGTGTGTGGTTGGGTTGGGTTTATTATAAAAAGACATAGTTAACAATGTTAATTTCATTTATTTTTTTTTTTAACAGATGTCTATTTTGGCAGCTTATAAGAGAAAAAGTTCTGGTAGCAGGATATATTTCTAGCTATAGTGTCAGTTTAAAATATAAATTAATCTATAGTATTTCTATGAATTATTAAATTTAAATGAGTTAAAAAAATGAGACTAAATCAAAACGGTATTATTATATAATAATATAAATATTAAATATTTACAACTCAACATATATACGTGGGACGTCATTTTGAATTAATTGTTGGTTGTATATTTTGCGCCTAAGTCGGTCATGCTCACTAATTAGATTAAGCATATTTCTCATTCATATACAGGTCTACCCAATGCTTATAGTGTCAACGGTGTAGAGGCATATCCACTTAACTTTTGGTTGGACTCGTGTGTGAGAGAGAAAGATAAATAAAAAGAATAGGTACTTGGAATGTTGGAACATTATCTGGTAATGTAGATTATTAGTATAAGTAATAAAGAGGGAAAATGTGAACAGTTGTTATGTGCAGGAAACTAAGTGGAAGGGAGAGAAAGCAAGGGAAATAGGTGAGGATAATACAATAATATACTCAGGTAAGCCTAATACAAAGTATAGTGTAGGGATAATAATGGATGAGGAGATGAAAAATTAAATTGTAGAAGTAGCTAAGAAAAGTGACAAAATTATAGTGGTAAAATTAATTTTCAAGGGAAAAGTGTTAAATGTAGTAAGTGTCTATGCATCACGAGTAGGGTGTGATGAAATAGACAAAGAAGTGTTTTGGAGAGTAATGGATAAGGTGATGCGCGATATATGAATGGACATATAGACAATTAGAGGAGAGGATATGAAAGAGTACATGGATGGTATGATTTTAGAGGGAAGAATCCTAGATTTCGCCCTATCGTATGATCTTGCTGTGGCTAACACTTAGAGGATATCTCGTGGAACGAGGGACTGGTAGATTTAATTAATGAGAAAGAGGTATGTGAGGCTGTGATTTAAAAGAAAAAAAATAAAACAGTAGAACCCGTTGAACGCCAGTAGAAGTATGAAAAATATTTGGTGGCATAAGGTGGTTAAAGAATCATGTTAATAAAATCACATTAAAAAAGATAACGCTAAAACAATAGAGGATTTTGAGAAAGCGAGAATAGATAACCGAGAGAGATTTTAAAATGGGCTTTAATGATAAAAAGGAGTACCGAAAGATACATTAATATAATAGAGAATATAAATGATGGCACTTGTACCAGAATAAAAAGTGTGAGAGGAATAACAGTAGGTTTTAGGATGTTATGAACTATTGCACAAGTCTTGCTGATCCAGCACATAGCTGACCACTCGACTTGTGCATATTTGGGTCAAATAATATTATATTATTTGACATAACAATTAGTTGTAATTTCGTCGCCGTGCTATTAGTTATATAAATTATTATTACGATTATTTTACGATTCAATTATATCAATTAAAATAAATCACTAATAAATATTAAGTACTGAATTTGTATCTTAAATCTTTCCCGCAAAGTTATAAACAAAACGACACTTCAGGTTAATTTCGTTCAACAATATAGATAGTTAGTATAACAGATGACTTGACACCGCTCGCCGACAAGTCACACACGGTAAGACTAACCCAAGTAATCTGTGACAGCGGAGCAAACTGAGATCACAACAAGGGTATAAGTAGGAGTGTTCCAAGGGTCTGCTTTAAGCCCTTACTTATTTTGTATAGTAATGGATGAAATTACTAGAGAACTATAAGGAGAGGTGCCGTGGTGCATGTTGCTCGTTGACAATATAGTGATAATAGGAGAAAATAGGGAGGATATTAATCAAAGGCAAGAGGTATGGAAATCAGCTCTTGAAGAAAAAGATTTAAGAATAATTAAGAGTATGGCAGAGTATATATAGTATGAGTTTGACAAAGGAGAACACGAGGTAGGTGAAATGAGTAGTCCAGTGATAATAGGCCGTCGAAATAGAAAATAAATAGAAATTTATTTTGCTTTAAATATTATCCACCAATTTCTTAAAGTTAAATACTATCTTTAGATTTGCATCGAAGTGTTCTTTATGATAGTGATTTTATTCACTGTCACATATTATCTATACTTGTTCCAACTATACCACGTCCACACTGCGCCACGACTTCATTGTGCTATCGTTTTTTTTTAATAATATTTTTTTATATTAAATTTAATATATATTTAATATATTTATATTTATTTTATATTACATTGTTTTAGTTAAAATGTATTATGACACACACATACTTGTTATTACAAGAGTTATAGAGGCATAATACAACGAGGGTAAGGGGATACTCTAAGAACATAAAAGTAGTAACAAAACTGATGGGTTGGTAGAAAATACATTTCGCCGCCCCCGTATGAAGAGCCTAGGTACGCCATTTATTAAAAAAATAGAGATTTTTATGCAAGAGCCATAAACTTTTTTTAAATTTAAATCATTATACTACTTTACATCGGCGTAACAAGAATACAATTTTTAGGATTGCTTAATTAATTCCATCCCATTAATTAATTTTAAATGAATTTAAAAGAAACACATCCTAATAAAATTAATACCTTTTCAGCTTCGCATAAAACTAAAATATTTATAAACAGTGTCAACAAAACTTGATACATTTTCAAAAATGTATAAGGTTTAATATACAAAATTGACGGTTATATAACTCTTGTGTGATAATTTATAAAATTAATAAAAAAATGTTATTTAAATTTTTAAAGTATGTAGTCGTTTTAAATAAATTTAATATATTTTATTAAATCTATCAATATTTATTTCAATGTGATTAAATGAAAATGTGTATCTCATATACTTTTTTGTTAACTACCAAATTAGCTTAAGTATATTATTAAAATTTATTGTTGACCAGCCAAATTCACTATCAGACATTTGTTCGTTATAGTAAAATGAGTGATGAAACGAAATATTTCCTTTCCGATAAAAATTAATAAAAAACATTTTCCAAGGTGTAATCTCTTGTTTGATTTTAAATATTTCATTTTTCAACGCAAATGTATTTTTCCTTATCATTTTAGTGGTAAGTTCTTCCTTATTGTTCAAAATTGAGGATCTTTTCATATTATCAAGTACATTGTTAACACTTAAAGATATTAGTCTTGAAATCATTTCATTTAAAGTACTCTTTATTATTGCATCTAGTATTATTTCATCAGTTTGAAGTTTTTTTTGTAAAAAATAAGCAAACCTCCAAAATATCTTATCTTTTGGATCAATATAATCAATAGCTTCCATGTACGCTAAATAAAACTCTTCAGAGGCAATGGTTATTTGCATCATCTCCGCATTTATTTCGTTATCTGGTAATTTCACAATGGACTTAATTATCGTGCGATAGATGTATAAATATTTCCAAGCATAACTCAATAATCTTACCTGTAGTATTAATGCTATTAAATCATGGTAATCATTGCAAACAAATGGCTCATTGACCCAATTTCGATTTTTTAAATATTTAATACAAGATAACTTGGCTTCTTCTAATTTTAACGAAGTTCCGCCCCAAATGATATTAAGGTCAATAATAGAGCCAAACAGAAAGTTTTCCGGATTTTTCAATATCAGTAACAAATCTTCTAAAACAAACTTGTTTCTGTCATTAAAATCTGTTGATATTGCTTTATTTTCGAATAGAGGACCTATCATCTCATTCGTTAGAACCATTACATTTTTCTGAACTTTTATGTGGAAAGAGTTATCAGCTAAAGTCTTGGGTAAATAATGGTTTGCTTCGCATGTTTTTAAAAAATTTAATATTTCTATTCTTAAAATTTCATCATCGAAATAGTCATTTTCAATTAAATTCGAATTGAGTTTGAGTGCATAAAGTTTACTATAAAACCACCATAGCCAAGGATGTGGTGCAGTTTTTGCTTGATAAAAAACTGATAGCATGTTAGAAATTTGTTTCAAATGTCGATTGTTTAACTCGAGAATATCTTTCACAGTTATTGTTCCGTTTTTCAATTCTACTCTAAATTTTTTATAATGATCTAACAGATATTTAACAATCACTCCAATTGTACACTGAACGCTTTGTAATTTTTTTTTGTATCCTGTTATGGTTTCTTTTCTGTAATGTCTGTATCGTGTAGTTAACTTGTTGATATCATCTCTACTGTAACTAAACTTCTTGTTATCCATTGTATTTAGCTTAGGTAGTAATTTTATGAATTCTGCGTTGTAAGTAAACTCGCAGAACAACATCTCCGAATTATTTTCCTACAAATAAAAAATTATTAAAAAATTTTAATTAAATTTTACTAATAAAAACTCATTTTAGTAGAAAAAGGTTCGTTTTTTTTTAATTTTTATGAAATAATTTAGGTTTATTTTTACGTTCCACGAATATTTTTTCTTTTAATTTTATTTCAGTTGAGTTTTTAATAAAACAAAACATGTTCCATTCGCTTTAATTATGTTTTATAGCATAATATCTAAAAAAAACTTTTAAGAAAATATTTAGAAGATATAAGTTTATAAATTAAAATTAAATAATCCAATCTGCTTTTGATAACTAAATATTAAGTTTTAGGTATAAAGTTTTGCTGCATTATACTACTCTTTTAGAGAATTTTGATAACATAACTTAAAAATATAATAACTATGTAGTTAAGTTCGATAAATTACAGCCTTTTATTCTTTTCATACATCTCTGCCGATTTACAACATATAAAATGTTATGATATTCTATAGAGAAATTTTTTTTTTTGCTTGAAGCAGAGCTAAATCTTTTCTTTATTTCTCATAAAATTTTTATTATATACCTAATAAAAAAAAAAAATAAAAATACCTTAAATAAGCTTGGCCATGAACATTTTGTTGCCTCTAAATTATCTAGTATTATTAAAATTAACATACAAATTAAAATTAAATTAACGAGAAAATTAAAACTCATGATGAAATAAAAATGTCAACACTTTACTAAATATCAACTTAGAATTAAAATTACCTTTTATTAATAAAAATAACAGAATATTGATCCCACTATTGTAAATAATGTTAAAATTCACATGTATTAAAAAAATACATATGTAGTAATTGAACATAAAATGTTTGATCAAGTGTTATAATATAACACTTGGTCAAAATATGACCAATATGAAAGTTAACGTTATTTATTATAAAAACTAGAAATGTGCAACGTTGCTAAAAATTAATGGCATAACTTTATTATTTATCAATACGTGTTCATATTAGTATGGGTTTGTGAAAAAGCAGTTCAATGATTATTAAAATTTTGATGAAACTATTTTTATACATGAACTAAATTTTACAAAAATTCGGTGACATATTAAAAAGCACAATATACTTGATTACGCTAAGAATAATTATTTCTAAATTTTCCTGTAAATTAAGTTACTTTTTTCAAAAAATGAATACTATAATATAATATTGTATATATTTTGAAATATATTATATTGATAATATAATATTATCAATATTAAAAATAAGTTTTTAGTGAATTGAAATTTCACTTTTAAAGGACATTTAATACCTTAATTACAATAATGAAGAACATAATACAAGATTTCAAAGAAGTAATGGCATAATTACCTCAATTTTTTTTATACTTTTGATTAGCGGTATGTATTTTACATGGGAATATTCAAATTTTGTGTTACTATCGATAAGTAATACTAAAAGTAACGATATAAGCAAATGCCCTTCCCCCACTATAAAATTTAATACATGTTTTTATGTAAAATTTGAAGGGATTAAAAAATTTTCCTTATGAATAATCCCTCCCTCGTGTGAAAATTTTTCTTCTTAATATGCAAATTTTCAGTGACATATATTATTTATGACATTCCAGTAGGTGGAGTAAAATTATACCAGTTACGAAGTGTATTAGAAAGAATATTAATTAAATTTAATTTAATATTTTTAATATTTTTTTAATGCAATTACGAAAAAATTTAGTTACTACAATGTACGGCAAAAATACGATCGATAATTAGTGCAACAGTCAAAATTAAATTATATACTTAAAAAATTTTAAAACTTGCTTCATATACATAAATTATTTTTGTTTATTAATTACTTTTTAAAGATATATAATTTATTTTAATTTATTAATATACTAAAGGCAAATATAATTAAATATCAATTATGCTCAATCAACACTTAAAACAGTTTTAATATTTTTACAATCTTCTACAAATAATTATATTATCTTATTATTAATTAATATGATTATCTTAATAATAATCTTAACATAATTATATCATATTAATTCTTTTTGCTACGATAGGTCAAATAATAAAAACTTGTACTGAAACTGCCAAGTTGTGAATTCATTTCGTCAAATACTTCTATTAATAAATTATATGCATTCTTCCACCATGACTCCGTTGGCGCGAACAATGTTGAATATGATTTAGACGAGAGTGTCATATTTTTTAAAATGTATTCACCCTGTTAATATAATTTCAAAATATACATAAATATCTTATTATATAATAAAACATTAAAAATTTGTCAATGCTGTAAAAATTACTTAGCGAACTTCGATTTTCAATTTTTTTTTAAAGAGAACACTCGGCGATATTACTCAGTGGAAATTATATGCGAAGAACAGAAAATATTTTTTAGAACTAATTTAATTAAAAACTCAACATGTTTTAGACAATGTTTTTATAATTTTTTTTAATAATCTTAATTATACTTCTACTTGTTTTTTCATGTCAATTACAAAGGCTTATTCAAATGTTAATAATTTTCATGGAAAATAAATGACGTAGTGTTACTAGTAAATAACGTAATAAGTGTTTACTTCTGTACTTTACATAATATGGACTAATATTTGATACCACAGGAAAATTTTAGAAAAAATTAAAATTTAACAAATTTCAAAATGCTGTATAACGTAATATTTTTGGTAATTGAGAAAAATAACATAAAACATATTTTAAATATAGTTCTATATTGTAAAAATAATTTGAAAAAAAACAAGTATAAAATGTTATGTAGATCATAAGTTATATGAGTTGTCAGTTAGATCTGTTCCACTCTGTATAGCTATTTTATTAGAAACGGATATCATTAATCAAAGTGATAGAATTTATTAACATTTTTATCTAATTTTAAACCTTCATAAGTTTATTAATTATTTTTTTTTTAGTGACGCTCGTTTTCTAAGTAATACAACAAGTCAATTAAATAAAATTAATTTTATATTTGCCAATAATAAATAAATTATTTATTACTTGAATATTGTTTGCATTTTATCTCATTGTCTTATACATTCTCAGCATTCAAAGTTATATTAACATATTTTTGTACATCGGAATTAAAAGGCAAGTATTTTAACCTAATCCTATTGCCCAAAAAGGAAGCCTTATAAAGTAAACTAATACAACTTTTTTTATTTTATCATTTTTCCTATTTGGTTTAATACCCAGATAAATCGGTAATCATTTTTTATATCATTAGTATCTCAATCTTCATTATCTGAGTTGTCAGATCCACTACAAATTTATAATACATTAATTTGACTATCTGATTCTAAAAATGTTATGTTACAAAAAAGTCGGATAACCGATACTTAGAACAACCGATAATTATAAATACCGGTGTTTATTTGGTATATACCGCCGCCCTATCTTACCCGTAAAGACTGCCGGTAGCGCTTAATGTACCAATAGAATGCCCATAGAATACCGAGTCTGGTGGCGGAGCTCTACCTAGGTGGACCTAGTTATTATATAGGGTGTTCAGTAAGTAAGGAAACGGGTTTCTATTATTCTGATTGTTTGTAACAAAAAACATGTTTTCTTACTTACTAAACATCCTTTATATTAATTATTCATTTATATTTAAATTTATCCCGTTAAACGTAATTCATGTGTAATTACATAACATATTTATAAATATTTTGAATTTTTTTTGTAATTAGAATAAAATCTTACTTTTAGTGGACATTTAACTTCTTGATTTTTATAATCAATGACAGCAAAAAGCATTACTACTTCTACCTTATCACAAATGTTCGTTATATCAAAAGATCTGTGGTTCGCGCAATCAATGAAGTGCTCTTTACATTTAATTACTTCTACCCTCATCTAAAAATGCATATATACATTAATTAGATTATCTTAATATGCATAATTTATTTATTTTTAGTCTATCGATACAGCCATGGCTTTACTATAAGAAAAATCTCCATATCGTTCGGTTTTACTATTGAACACTAACATATACATAAAAGTATCTCTAATGGCAATAATATTAAACTATCATATTGCTCAAATATGAATAAAAACCTAATTTTAGCTTCGATGCGAAGCTGAGAAGGTATTGGTTTTACTATGATGTGTTTTTTTTTTTATTTATTTTTTTTTTTTTTTTTNTTCGATGCGAAGCTGAGAAGGTATTGGTTTTACTATGATGTGTTTTTTTTTTGTGTCTGTTACCACTTTTTCTCAGCTCTCACCGAACCGATTTCTTTAAATGATACGTCAAAAGATCACAAATCGTATCTAGTCGAAGACATTACCCTCAAAAATTGAAAAATTTTCCCCTATCCCCTGTAAATGATGAAAACCCCCTAAAAAATTACAAATTTAAAAATCGCTAATTTTCGACATTTTTTCAATTTTTTTTACTTAAAAGTGCCATAACTTTTTCAAAAATGACCGAATCAATATAATTCATTTTTTATAGATGCTTGATGTTTTTATTTATCATTTGGTATATTTTTTTTATAAATAAAGGTCTGACACTTTTATATGTATATATCTTAAATTAAAGCTAATGTAATGTACTTTATTATGCAAAAAAAAATTTCTGACTTCATTTTGTCTTCACGGTGAAAATAGCTACCGAATGCTATTATTGTGTAAAAATTCTCGATTTTATTTTTTACATTTTTAACTTTATAATGATATAACTTATTGAATAGTGTATGGATCAACATAATTTTTTTAAGAGAAATAATATTTTTTAATGATCCCTTTTTCATTCGACATACTTTATCTGAATCAGGATATTAATAACGAACTAGCAGAACATGTTGCTTTTGGTATAATCCACCAATTTTTTAGAATTAAACACTATCTAAAAATTTGCATCGAAGCGTTTTTTTTTTTTATAGTGATTTTAATCACTGTCAGATATCATAGTACTTGATCCAACTATGTCACGTCACCACTGTGCCGCGATCCCCCTGTGCTGGGTTTTTATTTATTTATTTGGTGATTTTTATCTATCTTAAAATATTTTTTTAAATTTAACGGAACTTGCAATAAATTTAAGGTAAATTTTTTTTTGGTGAATCTTTTATTTTAAATGTATTTGTTCATTGAGTAATATTTTATTTTTTTTTATTATGATATAAATGTCAATTAAAAAAAAAAATAGGCCCGGGTTTCGACACCAATTTTTTTTATTCACTTTATATTTATTCAAGATTCCGTTTAATTTGAACAAATATTCTAAGTTCAAACAAATTAAAAAGAATCCCAGAGAGTAAGAATCTTGAGCAGTGTGTCTCAGATTATGTGTATTTTAAAATACCCAAAGAATTGATTTTAATAAGAAAAAATGAGTTTTTATAGTAAAATTTTTAAAAACTTATACAAACAAAAAATTATAATTAGCCTTTGAATTATAGTGATCTTTTAGGGTTGATAAAGAAAAGCTCAAAATTGGAAAATGTTTTACTTAATGCATTAATAACAAGCTTTGAAAAAGTTAAAGAATTATTATAGTTTGTCTAACGTTTATGTTAAATACAAAGATGCCATAAGTGAAAATTTTATAACTCTTATATACAAATGTACCAAAAGTGTATAACATAAGTATTTATTGTTTTACACTTATGTAGCAACTGTATATTAAATAGGCACAATATACATTTTTGAAACATTCTGTATATTAAAGTATAGAACATACGAGTGTTAGCTTCGATGCGAAGCTGAGAAGGTATTGGTTTTACTATGATGTGTTTTTTTTTTGTGTCTGTTACCACTTTTTCTCAGCTCTCACCGAACCGATTTCTTTAAATGATACGTCAAAAGATCACAAATCGTATCTAGTCGAAGACATTACCCTCAAAATTTGAAAAAAATTACCTCGTTCCCCGTAAATGGGGGAAACCTCCAAAAAAATTACAAATTTAAAAATCGCTAATTTTCGAAATTTTTTCAATTTTTTTTACTTAAAAGTGCCATAACTTTTTCAAAAATGACCGAATCAATATAATTCATTTTTTATAGATGCTTGATGTTTTTATTTATCATTTGGTATATTTTTTTTATAAATAAAGGTCTGACACTTTTATATGTATATATCTTAAATTAAAGCTAATGTAATATACTTTATTATGAAAAAAAAAATTTGACCTCTGTAGTAATTAGATGAGGAAGTATTGAATACGTCGATTTTAGTATAATATAAGCTTTACAATAGTAGTAAGCAATATAATAATTCCATATAAAAGGGAAATGCAGGGTAAGCAAATTAATAATGGTGGGAAAAAGAATATAAAAGGGTAACATGAAAAGTATAGGGGAACGAGACTGGGCGAGACGAGACTGGACGTTTTGTCGAAGAAACGTCGAGTTACGGGTTAGGTCGTTGGTGTAAGAATAACTTTATATTTTTGTAAGATTTAATTAATTTTTGTGTTAAATTTTTATATTATATTTGACTTTGTGTTTAATACATTTCGTAAATAAAAAACTATTTAAAAATCTGGGCTTAGCGCAAATATTTTATATTCACCGTGTTCTTGGTATTTGTGTGTGTGTGTGTGCGGCTAGAGTCTAGGTTGGACTGCTGGTCCTTTAGTCAATCTTAATAATTAGTGTACGAGCTGGCTAGTGTTTGGGCTTAACTGTCCTTTAGTGGGTATAGTAAAAAGGTAGTTGTGCTGGTGGCTGACAAGGAGCCACCCTTCAGTCTGCTACTTTTGAGCTAGACTGTGCTGACGGGTCTAAACTCTACCCCTTTAGTGGTCCACTAATTAGAGAGATTGGGGCTGATCAGTTTATCCAACGGGAGGACTCGAGAAGAGCTCGAACGACGAACTC